AACGAGAACGAGAACGAGAACGAGAACGAGAACGAGAACGAGAACGAAACGAAACGAAATGAAATTAAATTAAATGAAATGAAAATTTCTTTATTTAAAATGAAAATGTCATTATTTACGTTCACAAAGAAACTTATTTATATATATATACCTATGGTCCTCACATGATGTTGTTTTTTGTTTTGCTACGACTTCACTAACGACAATTTTCATGCCTCGCCACTGGTGGGTAAGCAAACTTTGGAGGTGGGTTTTGGTTTTATTAAAAAAGATGTAATTATTAAATACCCTCCAATACACTAAAGTTACTTAATGTTGGAGGTGTTATGAACAGAATTACACCAGGCAACAAAGTAAAAAATAACCAATGTATGTAAAAGTAAATATCATTCAATGTACTTTATTTATTTATACAAGAATATTTGAAGCAAGACCATGGTTTACTAATATGTCCTTGTTGATATTCGTTAAGTTAAATGAATTGTATTGCTCGAGTGAATATGTTACTTATACGATATAATTATATGTAACTTTTTCTGTCATAAAGTTCGATGTTTATAGCAAAAATTTTAACGCGTTATGTAGCGTGCGGTTAGCTCTATTGCTAGGCGCTTGGAATGGTGTTGCCAACTTAATGGTTTGACTTTTAATTGTGGAAAAATAATTATTTTCGTAGATAATTAAATACAATGGCACTATACTATTACCTAATTTACTTAAGCAGCATTTCACTTTAACAAATTAAATTTAACAAACATTCATTTACAGGCGTTAGTAACAGAACGCTTAAAAGTAGGATTAGTATTGCAAATAAAAAGTCCTTTTTGCTGGTGCTTTTTTGTATATATACTGCTATCATTGCCATCCAGTTAGTCCAGCGTTAGCACAACAAGGCGTGACTTGCGCTAGAGAGACATAAAGCGCGAGATACTGCTATGTATGCCTGCTACGATATCGTGTATGGCGGCAATAGATACAGGAATTGATTTTAGATTTCAAATTTAGATTTTACGTTAATTTTATTATGTCAGAATCAATTAATTTTATCATAATTTGTTATTTTAATGTAATCTAGTCCTTTAAATTTTTGATTCTGATTTTTAACCTTATTTTCCTTTTTATTGTATTCGATTGATTTTATTTATTTATCTTTGTATTGTGGTTTTAATGATATTTTAATTTTTAATTGATGATGATTAATTGATTCAATTTAATGTGGGCGCTGTTATCCGAAATAAATTAATTTAATTTTTTATTTATTAGAGTGAATTCGGGTCTAGGTTTGTGAAAATAGTCCTGAAACTTTCAGGTTTAGCAATGACATTCAGGAGGCTGTTATCGCCGCTACTTATTCAGCGCATCAGGGAAGCCGCCGAATGAATATTATATAGAATTTTAATGACGTTCTCAGTAATTGTTGGGGTAAATAAAATAAAGATTCTTGTTTATAGGTATTTAATGAAATGATACCCGGTGAATTAAAGAAAATTCTGTGACGACAATGACGGTAGAGAATATACTATACCCATGAATATACCAGGGAAAGAATTCCTAAAGTCATCTAAAACATGTATTGAGGTAATACCGCCATCTCAAAGGAATTCTTCAGAAGAAATACCATTCTCTTTTTGTAGTATTCTTATTATGTAGCAGTAGAGCTCCTTGTGAGAGAGTTCGTCCAGGGAACTACTGCCACCTTATTTATTTCTGCCGCCAAGCAGTAATGTCAGCATTACTGTGTTCTGGTTTTGAAAGGTAAGGGCGCTGGTGAAACTACAGACTCATGGGACTTGTCTACTTACGGCTCAGGGTGACAGGCACAGTGGTAGTGTTCCTCAGATCTTTGTTATTTAAAGCCCTGAGTGATCATGTACCCATACTATATTTTGTTGAAAGACCTTTAAAATCTATATGCGCAATATGGAAATTAAGAAATAAGCGTGTGTAACATCGCACTACGAGCTACTCACCTCCCTTCTGTCAACATTATTCATTCCTCTTTTTTATTCGCCCTGTCTCTATCAGCTTTCACGTCTTTTAGAACTTTCCTCCTTAATATTATCGTAATTCTGCGTCGCCGATTATTCCCTTGTACGTATTATATGTATATAGTGAAACATCAGCTATGCATGTAATAGTTCAACCTCTTATGAAATTGTACAATAACGGTCATTATGGACATGTGGACATTGTTCGTCCAATCACTTGATAATTTTAAAAAATAAAATAACCGTCTAGTACATCTTACGCTGATATAAAATCCTTTCACCATGATGGTAAATATTACAATGTATGCTATCGATAAGATAAAAAGAAGAAGTAAAATTTAATAAGTAATTATCAATTCTTTAACTGACTTTCTCAGTCTCCAAATGTCATTTTACCTGGCTTGGTCAACTATTACCCTTTCTTTGGACCGCTGCCGAGTAGTTCAATGAATATGAACCAATAATGCAAAAACCGTGTGATCATGAACATCGTCCATCTGCACATCGTATTATGTACACTGTAAATCGTTCTATAGGACAAGCTGGCTTAGATTTATCTCCACTATTGGATCAACCTAACTTGACACCCATGTGATATAATAACAGTGGTGTCATATAAATTTGGTAACCGTACAATATGTACGTCCAGGTTAAAAACTTATAAAAAAAATAAATAACCAGGTGTACACACTCCAGTGATGCGCTGTAATGGCTCTAGTTTTTTTTTATCAGCCACGGAGATATTTGAAACGGTCATTATTGTCTCGTGCCCATTATTCGTGACAATGATTGTCTAAGAATTTGGGTTGCGTTGCACTGGTTCCGTAGTAATTGAATTTTAGTATCTCGAATTTAATTGAGACTTAAAAACAGAATAGGTTTCTTCTTTAGCATGCTCATTGGCGTTAATTTCATTGGTCAGCTATGTACTTACAAATATTTTATGTATATTGAGTTTTTAGGTTTTCGCGATTGTTTCGTAATAATTTACTGGCAGTAAAACTTCTTATGAAAGAGTTCGTCCAGGAACGTACTGCCACCTTACCTATTTCAGCCATCAAGTTACAATGAGAGCATTACTGCGTTCCGGTTTTGAAGAGAAAGGTACTGGTGAAATTACAGCCACGTCGGACTTGTCGACTTATGTCTTAGAGCGGCAGGCACAGTGTCAGTGTCCCTCAGATCTTTGCATTTGAAGCTCGAAGCAGCACTGTAACTGTTATGAAAAGATATCATAAAAAAGATTGTAAATCTGAATAGCGTATATTTGTTCAATCAAACAAATCAATACCAGTGTGACCATGGGACTAGTAAGGGGCCTGAAACGTCAAAAATATACGCGGTTTAAATCCAAAAAAATATTTTATATAGTTACGGGAGTAACTAGTTACTCCATTTTACTAATTGGAGTTATAAATTCTCAGTCAATCAATACGTCAAACTAAATTTTACAATGAAAAAGTGGCAATAAAATTTAGTTTTGAATAGCTTTGAGTGTAATTTCGAAAACCCTAAAAGTATTTCTAAACAGACACCGTCCATCTCGGTACCCCGCGGCACTGAACAGTAGCACCAGGTGGAATCCAAATTCTAACTACAATTACGCTCACGACACCGTGCGTGCGCGCATAATACAATCATGTGTAATTTGTACACCCGCCATTGTCCGGTTTTCGAATACTTTTTCTTGTGAAGTTTCCCAATTTATATTTTAACTGTTAGTAGAACTTAAACGTAGGTACGGTACAAATTGTAAACTTGTACGATTGGGACTGCGCATAATACAATTTTTCAAACCTAGTGATTTTTAAATAATTAATATTTATATTAATATATATATTAATATATATATATATTAATATATATAGTAATTGTAGAGTTGATGAATTATTTATGTACCGAAAAGATTCTTGGTCGCTATTGCTATTACGAGCTTGCAGGGGTACCTATTGAGTACTTGCCCAAAATGGAAGCACGTTAATACATTAATATTATAGGAACTTGAAACTATATAAAGTAAGTTTTGTTTTCTTTACTTAAGGAGGGTTTTATATTAGAAAATGTCACCTCCATATTGACAGGTTCCTTGACCTACTAGGACCAAGCAAACTAATGAATGAATGAAAAAAGCAAGATAATGGGAAAAGCGCAACGACGAATATACACATTAGAATGTACTAAATATAATTATATGCTCCAGACCCCAAGCAAATATGTCCTCAGTTTTATATGAAAAACGAATTTTTTAAGATGCCACATGTATATATAGAGTGCGAAATTTGAATGATGTCGCATTCATTTCATTATATAGACTAGACGTTTACATGATCACAGGTATAATATTTTCTGAGTTTCAATTATATCACTTAATATGCACATTTTTTTGTATACGAGACCTTAGGAGGTTAAACATCATCTACCGTCTTCGCTTAGTTCCGACATCAACTAATCTTAACTCTTGGGTCTTTGGCAAGATAGTAAAATGTTACATACTCATATTTCTGTCAAATTACAATCTGTGTCATTAAAAACTTCTTTTCTTTCGGTTCCGTTCCGTGTTCACTCCATCAAGATATGGTTCAACTATATCAGATTCAGTGTCTTGGGAGATTGGATCATTCTCATTAAGTATGAGAAGCTATTTAAAGGCATATGTTCGGATAGGACCCAAAATACAGTACACATATCGGCACAATCAAACCACGGAATTCGAAAGAAAGTAGAATTGTGCAATCACATCAACTTATTCTTCACAAGCGAACTGCGTAATGCGAAGGATAGAAGATAAAATAAACGGAAATTCAGAATTGGGATTCATGACATGTGATGAATTGTGATTCATACTAATGATCTGTTATAATTTTGATGACTAATTAGTAGAATCAGTAAAATAACGACTCGTCACCGTTAACCGTTACAGTATATCTTGATAACAAAGTAACTTATACCAAGAACTGAAGTACCTAATCTTACGTTACTTAATACTATATAATATTGTTTAACTTCTGATATCTGAGGGCCGTATAAGTTGAGTCCTGTTATCAATCCCTCCCGCGCGTGTGCGAGCCTGAGGGCGCACGCGCCTTCATACTATACTTTATACGAAAAAATAAAAATACAGCTACCTGTTACGAGTGGCTACTTAGCATAATTTGTGGCGTGATACTTTTGAGATTTTGATTTGATATTGTCTTTTTTCTTTATTGTAGTTGGTCATCGAGATTATTATACAGCGTTTGATTGATTTTTACACCAATAGTTTTTTTAACAATTGAATGTCTTTAAGATGCCGTATCAGTTGTACCGCTAGATGGCGGCATTTAAAAATTGTTGCTTAAATCTATTAGGTATATTTATAAGATAATAGAAACATTCTTTCCGAAAAACAACATACATACAGCAACAACGTACAAATAACATATTGATTTTGCTGCCATTTCTTCTACAGTGTAATCAAATATCTGAAACTTTTTGGACTCTGTATAGATTTCCTCAGCTATTTCTTTGAATTACTCTGTCCTTCAAATTATTAAAATTCTGCTTGTAAAATGTGTTACTGCAGGACATATAATTATATACAGAGTCTCATACAAATCCGTTTAGCCGTTATATGGTACGTTACAATCCTCCAACTACTCAATTTCCTACATATGACACATCAAAATTTCAAAATATTTTCGATAATACTTAACTTTTACTTAGTCAACTTACTAGCTTTACGAAGTTAGAAAATCTTTAATCAGAGGTTTTTAAGTTACTCCTAAATGTTACATTAGTAGGCACTGCTTCAGTCTTACCGCGTTAAAACACATATTATACTTATTTAAGTATATTTACAAACGAAACAAATCTCTTCATAGTAACTTTGGGAATTAATTTTTGTACTACTCTCACAACTGTTTAGTTTACACTAAACCATAAATGAAGCTCTATTAAAGCAACATTCAACAGTTTATCGTTAAACCACTTTCTAGACCAGAACTCTAGAATTCAACATGTATTGCTGCCATCGAACTTTGAACATATAATATGTGTTAAAATATAGCTAAGTACGTGTTTTAATATCTGAAATACATTTAGCAACTTATGTACAACATTTTCAAAAGTATTTTTAACTTAAAAAGCCTAGAATTGTTACATAAATAATATGTATTTGTATGTTATTATATATATGTACTGTTATGCTTACAGGTTATCAAACATAACTATCACGTAAAGAACTTTATACGTTCTAAATAACTAAAATTTAATATAACTCACCATTGGAAGCGTTGATTTAAACCAATTATAAACCCATTTCTTGCTCCAAACAGTTATTATACGGACAGACAAACAAAAAATATCAATCGTATAACCACATTTGAGAATACACTATGATCATACTTTTAGCACAAAAAAAATTGGACGAATAGCAAGCAGCACTGAAATACACTTTGATAAGGCACTGTTTAAGTATGGTTGGTCAAGAAAATTTAGTATTTTACAGAAGAATTCGTGTGATATTTTAGTTTAAAGCGCCATAGCGAAAGATACGAGTTGCGTGCGTATACGCAAGCTGTCACGTACTGACTGCCGGTTGTTGGGGCTGCCACACTGGCGTGGGGAGGAATACCGTAAAAGCCTTGAAAAATTACCATTTTACCAGTTTCCAAATGTACGGGCCATATGGAAACATTTGAGAGCTTTTGGAAAACTTCAAACTTGAAAAAGGTTATTGGAAGACTTTGTTCGTGTGCCATGTCTAGTTACAAAAATATTTTTTAATGTTTATTGTGATTTACGATTTTGAATTCGGAGCGTCGTTTTTTTTTTTTTGGTACAAAAGACTTCAACGCGATAGGCATGGCGTTAAGTTTTTGATTTACATAGTTCTTTTTCGTCAATCTTGTGAGTCGGTAAATCTTATGTATTTACATAGGTATGTAGATATTTATGAATACACAAATGGAATATAAATATAATGTATTTGTACTCTATGATTAACTACAAAAAATTGTTTTTGTCAAAGAAGTAAAGTCATTTAATGTTTTGAACTTATTTAATATCCATGTTAAAAGTTTTTATTTTGAATACTATGTTACTATCGACGATTACATTGTACATACGTATTAATATAACTTCTACAATACATAAAGTCATCAGCAGGCGTCTCAATTTCAGTGTAGAGTTGAATAATGCTGCAACTTGTCTATGTCCCTTGAAATAATCAAAGGACATACATTAAATTGGTACTCGTCAAAGAGTTTTTATTGTAAAAAAGTAAAATTCATCGTATTTTCAAGCATCAACCATTGAAAAGACATTTGAGGACTCTATATTGTTACTAGTTACTACCACGTTTTCAAACATTCCTTCACATTGCAACACAGGCACCACCGGCCATTTGTAGTGCGAACGAGAAGCGAAAATATTCTCCTCTCGCTCTGCAGGCAGGAATGTGACCCGCTATCAACCTTGAAGGCCGAGCCGGCTCAATCGGACCAAAAGCTTTCCATACTAGCACATCCCGTGAAATCGCTTAGTTTTCCCCGTTTAATTATAAAGTGGCCGTAGACCACATCAGGTAAATGGTAGATCATGTATACTTAACCACACATCAAGCTATTAAAATTATCAATTTACGTATAACTGCATATTTGAAAAATTAAAATTATCAAAGTGATACTAGCTACATTATTAACCGACTTCAAAAAAAGGAGGAGGTTCTCAATTCGACTTATTTTTTGTATGTATGTTACGCGATAACTGTGAACTGATTTTGATTATTCTTGTTGGAAAGAGGGTACCTCAGAAGTGGTCCCATTTAAAGTTGAAGAATATATTCCAGTTCTAACAGTGGCAAACTAGAAGATGAATGACTTTTGAGGTCGGTTTTTTAGTACTCTGTACAGTATTCGTGGCCCCTGTGGGCCAAGTAAGTATGGTTATGGGTATTTGTCACCAATATATGTAATATTGGTGACAAATACCCTTCCACATTTATATGGCGTAAGGCATTGGAGTGGAAATCCTGCCTGTAGATTTATTCCCCAAACCTTATAACGTGGGTCTTTTCAAGGGGAGAGGGGAGAGTGAATAGGTGTTATATAGGTGTGCATGCTCCATCGTCAAACTTCATCTTCACTTTCCATCGAGTGAAACGGAGGTCAAATACACGTTTATTCGTACAATAAAAGTTTATTTCCCAAATTGGTCTTACCGGGAATCTAACCCGGGACCTCAGACCGGGATATATGTATGCCTTATGCCTAGTGGACACGCGTGTCTATAGCAGTTCCAGTATCACTCCGAGCTTTAAATGCACTACCACTGCGCCCGTCACCCGGAGACATAAGAAAAGTCCCATGTGCCTGTAATTTCACCAGCACCCCTTTACCTTTCAAAACTAGAATACAGTAATGCTCACATCATCGGTGTATTGTAGAAAGGGCAAAAGCATTCGAAAACATTTTTCAGGGAGCATGTTTTAGTTTTTCACAACTGTCTTAAAATATTCACGTCCTGTTTTAAATACAATTTTCAAACTTAAAAAATAGAATCAAAATTGGATTTTAAAACAGTCGTTAAAACCTTAAACATTCACCAATGAAATTTTTTCAAAATGGCGCTTTCGCTCTCTCTACAAAACACTCACAACATTATGACTTGATGGCAGAAATCGGTAAGGTGGCAGCATTTCCCTGGACGAACTCTTCTTTCTTACACAAACAGCTCTACTGCTACTAAATCTTTTCAAGTTACAGTGTAATAAACGTTAAAAATGAATATAAATGTTGTTTTGTACAACGTTTTAGTATTTTATTAATATCCCACGCCGATTTCATGCCGCCTCTGCCGGTTGAAAAACTACCGCCGACGATTTTACGATTGGCGCACATTTCTAGAGTTGCCTATTGATTTTATAGGATTATTTGCTATTTATATTTGGGTTAGGCGACTTAGGGATCTCTAATCTCGGTGAGCCCAATGGTTTGCTCTATGTGGCTGGATAAGGAGATTTTGGTGAACCAAATGGTTGCTATAGTTAGAGTATACATCCGTCTGGTAGTATTTTAGAAAAAATATCCCGACTACCTAGTACAGGGTCAAGAGCACATCAAGCTTGATACTTAAAGATTTAAATTCAACTCTATGCCCTTGCGATAAGAACGGTCCAAAATCCATAGTGTCAAGGTTGATGTGCTTTTGACTGTACAAACATGTATATAGGTAAGTACTTTGAACGTAAAATGGTTTATGCCTCCGTGGTTAAGTGACTTGTTTACCGGTTTTTATGGTGTCGCCAACTCTGAGGTCCCGGGTTCGATCCTCGCAAGGGTCAATGCTGAAACTTACTTTTCTATATTGTCTCGGGTCTGGGTGTATAAGATAACGTCGTTTCTTCATCAAACTTCTGATTTCCAAAACACAAGTACTTTGGTTACTTTGGTAGAGCAACTTATGTAATGTTGTCTAATATTTATTTGTTTATTTTATCGTATACATTTATTTATTTTTCATTTTTCATTTATTTTTTATAAAAAAAATCTAATGAAAACATTATATTTGAAAACGAGTGCCTACAATGTCTATCATGACTATATTTTGTGTAAATAAGTGTTTAATTTTCCAGCTAGCTTATTAAACGAATTGAATCAAACTTATTTTCAGTTATTCTTGGACTAGTGTATACTACCTAATTTCCGTACCAATTTTTATTATGGAAGTATCCGATTTTTTTTATCGTGCGATTTTTATTATAGTATTTAATACTCGAGTATTGTATGATGAATAATTGCCACGGAAATTAGGGAGTGAACACTAATCCGAGAATTACTGTTTTAATTTAAAGTTCCGGCTTGTACTACTAATCAATTAGGTAATTAGGTACCTCTATTATGACGACTGCTGCAACGTACAGTAACGAATCTACAAAATGCATACTTTACAGTAGAGCAGTTTGAAGTTATATTTTGTCTTAGAATAATAAGTTTTAATAGTGTCGTGAAAGTGATACCCAATTATGATAGCTGATTTTATTTGTTTTTCTTAAGCCTTAGAATGATTTTAAAAATTTTGATGTATTCAAAAATTCAAAATTCAAAAATTCGTTTATTGTTTTAAAAGTGGTACAATGGATGGAAAAGTTATATAATGTAATTTCACACTTTTAGTCATTTCTGACATACAATATAGAATTATGGTTTTTTAAATCATAATACAATACAATATTTCAAATTAAATGTGCATTAAAGACTAAAGAATGTCAAAAAAGAAGCAATAAAATAAAATAAAATCATAATAAAAACCATGTCAAAGAATCAAATGTCCATACACAATACAGTACACATTACATAAAAATATACCTAACCTAATCAAATATTTCATTTACATCATAAAATGTTTTTTGTTTTAACCAAAGCTTTAGTGAGTATTTAAATTTATTTATTGGTTGTGACTTGAGAGTTTCAGGCAAACTATTATAGACCTTGACACACATTGCATAACAACTCTTCACGTATAATGCTGTTCTGGGTATAGAGTCCACAACAAGCCTGTTTTGGTGCCTTACATATCGGTTTAAATTATCTTTAACTCGTTTGAACAAACCTTCGTGATTTCGTACAAATATACACAACTCATATATATACAGACTAGGGAGAGACAAAATGCCAAATTTTATGAATAAAGGTCGACACGACTGGTCTGGTGGCGCCCCATACATTGCACGCACACATCTTTTCTGGGCTTTGAAGGCCCTGTCAGCATCAGTACTGTTTCCCCATAACAATAGTCCGTATCTAAGATGAGACTCAACATGACCATAGTAGGCTGTGAGTAAGGTTTGACGCATTGCTGTTCTTTTAAGTTGACTCATCATATACACATAGCCACTTATTTTGTTACAGACCCTATTTATGTGACATTTCCAGTTGCAGTGATCATCAATTTGAAGTCCGAGAAAACAAGTATCATTTAACTCCTTCAATGGCTGTCCTTCATGATTTATATTAAGTTTATATTTACGTCCACAGTGATTTACAAATTGTATATAATTAGTTTTGTTAATATTAACATTCAAATTATTTAATTTTAACCATTTTGTTATTGAAATTAGTGTGTCATTTAAATTTAAATTTAAATTTTAAATTTATTATTAAAATTTTTTATTATAATTTTAAATTTAAATTTTTATTTTTCTAGATATTTCACTTTCAATAGTTTACCTTGTTAGAATTTGCTATAAATTAATCGTAAGTGGTAGATTCGTTAGTATTCAGGGCTTGTACAATTTTAACAAATATTGAATCTACCAGTATCAGTACTTTTCATTGACAGTTTTTATAGAATCGATAAACGTTTAACACTTTCGATTATTTATACCAAGTAATTTACGGTCAGAAAGAGAAGAGAATACCAAAACCAAACACTGATTTTGAGCTACACACCTATGCATAACAGTTGCAGTGCCACTCAGAGTTTTAAATCTGCGAGCCACTCCTACTGCGACTGTCACCCTTAGACAAAATTTGACAAGTCCCATGTACCTGTTATTTCACCAGAACCCTTATCCTTCAAAACCGGAACGCAATAATGTTTACGTTACTACTTGGCGGCACAAATAGTAAAGGTGGTACATCCCTGGACGAACTCTTTCACTAGGAGCTCTACTGCTGCTAATTGTTACTTACTTGTAAGTGAAACAATAAAGTGTTTATCGAGTTCTTAGGTTTTCGCGATTGTTACACTTAGGAAACGAAACTTATTTTTTTTCGGATCTAAATCGCCTGTTTTTGTTTTTTCAAACAAACCAACGTTTCGGGCCCTTTACATGTCCCATAGTCACGACTGACGTCAGGTACCGGCCCTGTAAAGGGCCCGAAACGTTAGTTTGTTTGAAAAAATAAATATACGCGATTTAGATCCGAAAAGAAATAGTTTGATTTCTTAATAACATATTTATTATACAAAATTAATTTGTCAAGAATCTTTTACATTAGGAAAATAATATAAATATCACAAAAACCCGTGTATGAACACGAAATCTTTATGTGATGTCGATATTATATTTATTACTGGCATACATGTAAAGGCTGTATATCACTATTGCGATTTTGCCCAGAGCAGTTGTCGGACCAAAATTCTATGTCTACGGCATCATTAGTTATATTTTATTTAACAAAATCTAATAAACAGCTACCAGTTGGTAGTTTGCGTCGTTTGCTCTAAGTTTGCCATTATTGTGTGGTCCTCTAACCCCAGTATCGCAAATAGTAAAATGTACCAGTGACAACGTGCTTTTAAAATAAAAGAGAGACTAAGAGAGAGTGCAGGTTTCATTACAATGTTTTCCTTAAACCGGAATGCTCATGGTAAATTTCGAATGAAATTTCGCACATAAATTCTGAAAAATTCAGAGATGCGAGTCCGGATTTGGACCCACGGCCACTACTTGAGAGGTGATAGGTCAAACTATTAGGCTACTAAAAGCTGTGCAAATCATTTATCAGACCATCACATATCTTGTCAACCTCTGTAGACCAAGCGAAAAAGATGTGTTCGTAAATATCATTCAGAAATTTGAATTCTTCTTCAGTATAATTGTTGTCACGCACAGGAGATTCTAAAAAAAACATATTTTATACTAACATGCTTTAATTATAAAATCAGAATAAATCGTGTACCTATATTTATTTTTTCAAACAAACAAAGTTTTCAGGCTCTTTACAGATCCCATGTTCACGGCTGACTGAGATGGTAAAGTCGTCAACCAGTTACGTCTAATATTAATGCAAACCAACCTATTTTACACTCAGAATTAAACCTTTAAAAAATCGAATCTGCCAATTTGCGATGTATCTAGCGTAAAACAACATTGTGATTGGTAGACTCGATAGATGTTTTCCATAGAACCATGGAAAATGGTACATTCGATAGCTCTAAGACTAGAAATAAACACGTATACTATCGAAAGTGCCAGTTACAACTTTGTCGAAATTATATACACCTAGAACATTGTCGAATTTCCCCTTTTCGATAGTTTTTCTTGTCTAACCAGCCATCTGGTCACTTGGATAAGAAAAAACGACACAAAGAACTAATTATTTTAAAAATATTTAGGAACTAGTTACATAAGTGATATTTTAGATCATTTATTTTTGATATTATGAACGGATATAACAAAATTATAAACACTTACCGTGTTATTATATTTTTTTTCGTCAGACGTGGTTTCACCGTGACGTTGTTGTATATGTTTTATAATGAAATTAACCACACATCTACCTCGGCTATTCATTTTTAAACTCCGATTTAAAAAAAAAACAAAGAGCAAAACAAATAATAAGTAACTAAAACAAGCTAAAAGTAAACGAAATAGATTTCATAGAAGTACTACCACCTAACCTATTTCTGCCGCCAAGCAGTACTGTGAGCATTGCCCATGGGACTTCTCAATTCATGTCTCAAGGTGATGGGAGCAGTGGCAGTACCCCGGAGATAATTGCGAGTCTTGAGTGGCATTTGCTGTCATAAAAAAAGTTCTAATTAGTGCTGATTGCAATAGATCAATTTGCTAGTCGTAGTGCTTCAGGCCCTATATGTGTTATCCTAATAATGATAATATAAAACAATAAGAATATTTAAAAGTACCTATTTTAAATTATGTTGAGTATTGTTTTTAACATTTGACGACACCGACGATCCTGCTGTTTTCACTGTTTGCGCATCATAAACAATTATTATTTGCCCATGAGACACGCAGGCCGCATTTTATATTTTTTATTAATTAGAGAGTATTAATTATATGCTACATCCCAACAAGGTATATTTGTATTTAACTATGTAATAACATTATTTGCAATAAATAACAACGATGTCGTCTCGTATTCGTTTCCTGGTAGGAACAATTTAAGAAATAAATTTTCTGAATTTATAAATAAATAAATAACACAGCCAGTCTTTTAATTAGATTTTTATGGAAATGTTTTTAAAATCATATATTGAAGTTGTATCTTACACTTTTACATTTTTAATGTTTGGTTAAGTTATTAATAAACAAATTAAGCTCTTACGACTTGGTTGATTATAAGCAGATTATTCGCTCCAAGGCTCCAAGATTGTAAGTGCTATAAATTATCTTAATAACAAGTATCCTAAGCCAAAAACCCGTTGCTAAGCAACTGTCACTTAGACATTAAGACATTATATAAACGCACTTCACTTGTTTTCGAAAATTGTGTGTTGGCGGCATTGACTTACAATTATATGTAAGTCAATGGTTGGCGGGTAATAAATAAAACACTTTAGGAAGTAAATTGAAATGTCTGTATGACCTCATGTGTGCCAATTATTGGCCGTTTAAACGCCTACGCGAACGGCAACATACAAGTATGTACTGATTCATTTTTGTACGACAATTGAAGGTGTGCAGTCAAGCAAAGAGGTTTGTGTATTGATTCTACAAACTATGAGTCATTTTGTTGTGATTTTTCGGTACAAACTTTGTTGTAGTATTGTTTAGTTATAGTCTTTGTACACAGTTTTGAATTGCCCAGTTGGATGGTGAAACAATCGGTTAGTTTTGTGGTTTGAAAGTTTACGCGATTTACTTATTTGTTTATTTACTTTCTTTTACAGCATGTTGTAAGTTCTGTCAATACTTGGTTAATATAGTGAGTATTACTTGTGGTGGAGAAGTACCTCCATTTTTAATATTAACTGATTTTAGAATTCTTACAATTGTTTTTGGAGCATGTGATAATGCTGTGTGTTTTTTGTGTAGTTTTACATAATAATTCTGGCTTAAATTGTATGTTCAAAGGTATTATATATATATATTTCATCTCATTATTTGATCCTTTTTATTTACTTACAACAAAATAAGTTGAATGCATTTGAAAAAAATACTCCACACAAATAAAATTATTTGCTTACTATTAAAATTATTTTATTAAAACTGTGATTTATTTATTGGATCAGTAGATATATTCACAATAATAATTATGCTGACATTTTAAATGAATTTTATTCTTCGATCTAGTAGTAGTTGTGTTATTGAGAGACACTAGAATTCATCTGCACATCTTTACCCAACGCTGCATCTAGATGGATAGGTGGGTGAAAGTGAGTAGGATGGGTGGGTGAAAGCTCCTTAATAATAATAATAGTGCCTGTATAGATTTCCAGTCACGGTTGTGGCGCAGAGATCATAGGCATGGTTTTAGCTGCTCTTTACATTGCATTTTTAATGTTATTGTATGTGCATTGTATATGAGGATATTATAAACACAAATACTGATAATGACTAAACAAACATTCAAATCTTTGTTGTCATGTTAGCAGTGCATCATACCAACCAATTGCCAACATCTGCAGTATAGATAAAACATCTTCACAGAAAATGTCCCGTCCCCGCCCAGCATGGCTCTTGCAAGAGCTAGCCGCCCAGAGACGTGATAATGAGTTACGTAAATCAGAAGAACAGAAGAAAGTGGCCAGTTATTTTGAACTTAGTACAGCTAAGTCAAAACATCATGAACAATGGACTACACAGGGGTATTATGAGAGAGCTAATAAAGAAGCCGAATTGCTAAGTGAAAGAAAGATTAAAGCTGCGTAAGTATAATTTCTATTTGCATTTTGATTTGTTACAGCATTTAATTATTAGGGCGCTTTCAAATTTAACGCTTATAGAAGTATTGCAGTGACGGTACTGTGACCTAATTGTTACGGCACGGGTAATAGGCGACTGCTTTTCCAGATATTGTATGAATGATAGTGGCTCGTCAGCCGCGCCAAAGATGCGCCACTGCATCACTTCCGTGAGCGTCTAATTGAAAGGCGCCTTAATGTTACTTGCTATATTTCATTAAGAACATATTTTATAATGTCCTTGTTAGAGAGAATTTACAAAACTTTTTGAATGGACTTCAACTCGTAAATAGGGCAAGTTTTGGAGTCCAGTGAGAACTCATGCTCTAGATTATTACTTGGTGTAGGTGTATAATGTAAAAACTATTACTACATATCTATTACCAATTTTAATTTGGTTGTTATTGTTATTACAGCCAACTAGAAGAGCGTAGAAAGAAGTTAGAATTGATGTTTTTCCAAGAGAACATGCAGTATCAACAGGAATTAAAGGCATTGGCTGCTCAGCCTAAGTTTTTTAAAAATGGGTAAGAATACACTTTTTTAAAGTATTAAATTGTCCTCAGACTGCACTATTTCAAAGAAATTGCTATTACATTATTAACATATTTAATAAAATATTGAATAATTTGAAAGAATTGCCGACAAATTAAATGTTTAGAAAACTGGGAAAAAGGGTTTTTTAAAATTATTTTTATAATGTCAAAGAATTTTGAGAATATATTTAATAAATTTATAGCCCTGTGGCACATATTAAAAACTTAATACCTTTGAGTAATGTATGTTTGAGATATGCGAAGATATGCTGTACTAATTAGTAACTTGTTTGTAAGCTTTGATTTAACCATATCTTATACAAATTAAAAATCATTTCATATCAAATTTCTTATTATATATTTATTTAGACAGTTGCATTTATTATTGTGTTCTTAATTTAATTCATATGATAATTATGAAAAAAAAATATAATTCTTTATTGTGTTTAGTCACTACCATAATATTTCATAATAATAAATTTTCAGATCATACCTAAACAACGTGCCCACGTCAACTCTTAAAGAGATAAACCAGGGCATCATAGAAAAAGAAGAGCAGCTACGTCGCCATGAAGCGGAGTTAAGGCTACACCACGCATGGAGATTGAGACAGCCCGAGATCAGAGCTGCCAGCTCTTATATAGCTAATGGAAAGCTTAAATCTGCTTGGTGAGTAGTTTATATCCTTTCGTCATTAACACAGGGTTACCTCCCTCTATTCTACTGCCGCTTATTTTGATTGAGAGGAGGACCTTCTGTTATTTCAGTACCATCAGCCCATCTTACTGGTGGTCCTCTCGGTTGGAGTTTATAATAGCAGTTCGCATTTGCCCCTCTCGTCATTACCATTATTACACAGTGCTAATAAAACTGGTTTGTTAGAGCGGTCACACACGCGCGACTGCATCGATACAAACGCGCGATTCCGTCGCTACACTTGGGAACTTTGTATTGATGCAATCGCGCGTTTGTACCGATGCAGTCGCGCGTTTGCATCGGTGCAAGCGCCTATAACGTCATGAACGCGCGTTTGCATCGCTGCTAAAAGACGCCATGTGACTACTCTAGACTTTAAGTAAACAGAAGGATGTGGTATAATCTCCGTGCTTGTGCACTTTGATGAGTGTTTCACTGACAAAAGCTCGGTGTTGTTTGTGCTACATATTACCTTGATCAATTATTTTAACTTGTGCATATATATATTGGATGTATATTTGAAAGTGGGACATACTTATAGAGTGCGTTATATTCCTGATTCTGAACCCGAAGAAATAATAAACTAATGAATTTATTTTTCTTTACAAAAATTTTTTTTATTTTTTTTATCGACTACTATTTGTGAACAACATTAGTTATCGAAATCTATGCACATCACTATTATTGCTCCGACGAAACGGCGAGCGGGGGTGGGGGCGCGGGCGTATTTGCGAAATTGCTGTTTGGAGAGACAGTGCACGCGCGACCTTGGCCTATTGAAGACATGTACATTATTTGTACTTCCGCTCGCCCGATGGCTGCATCCCGGCGAACGCGCCTCTCGCAAAATGGATATTTATTCTAACGTCGAATTGACTGAGATGGTGCTACTTTACGCAATAACTGGTGATAGTGTGAGGCGCGCTATTGAAATGTTCCCAAATCGAAGTTAACGCGGAGGAGGTGAACTGTCGAAGTGTTGCATGAAAGGATTATCTCAACATTTTATACTGTGACACAAAATGTGTTTGTGTTGAACAATTTAAAACAAAATTTACTACGACGTGCTAGACTGTGCATTGTATTGTGGACAACAGTGGACATTTTGAACACCAGCTCCGTATCGCGTAAGGTTAAATAAACTGTAAATAACTAAAAAGTCAATCATTGTAAGTAATTTGATTTCATATTTTTAACTACGCCAAAAACCTCAATTCTTATTAAATTATAACCAGTTACTAAATCATAAACTTATCTTTTTTTTAGTACGTAAAACATTTCGACGATAGCTCAGAAGTAAAAAATAATTAGCATAAACTAAAACGTAATCATTTCGATAACAGATTTTTTGTAACTTACTACTGAGTAACTTAGTTTTTATATCTCTTATTACTCTGTGGTTTTTAATTTCTAGAGAAATGAGGTGCTTTGTCGGTTCTAAGTAGGAAGGGAGATGTGAAGTCATTGTTATTGTTGCTGTCTCACCGGCGGTCGCTTGGTAGTATTCCCATTGCACTCGAAATCAAGCGTAAAGGGAATCGGTTTATTCCAATGTACACTTCAAAACACATTTGTTGACTTATTTTTTGTTCTATCCCATATCCAAATTTTATTTTAGTCTATGTAAAGGTGTAACATGATTTACTATGACATGTACGAATATGTCTCACTTTCAAATATACGGCTTGTATATGTGATGTAAATATATGAAATCTCCAAGCTTTCATAAATTAATGACTGCTCTTGGACACTATATGTTTACACTGAAGACATAAATATTTTTTTATGAGTTGAACTAGTTCTTTAAAACTCTACAACGTGCTGGGGGTTGAGTCTTGTTGTTTTTAATTCAATGCCACAATCACTAAAGGTATAACTTCTACTATTGTTAACCAATAAAAAAGAGGAGGTTCTCAATTCGTTTGGTTTTTTTGGAAACAGATGTAAAACCACGAACTTTTGGCCTGTTTTTTTTTTTATGAAAAACTTACAATTATTTAGTTCCTTTTGTAATAATATTAAGTGACGGGATGAACCAGTCTTGCGCTTGGTGGTAAACGACGTCCCAACCCATAACAGTTGCAGTGTAACTCAGAACTTTCGAGGGACACTGTCACTGCGCACGTCGCCTTAAGACATAAGTTGACAAGTTCCACGTATCCACCCTTAAAAACCGGAACGCAATAATGCTTCACATTCGAAACAATAAACAATATTGAATCGAATTGTATTGATGTATCGAATTGTATTGATGTTCTCCAGGACAGAGCAAATAGTAGAAAAAGAGATTCAAAAAAGAAAAGACGATGAAGAAACGCGTAAGATACTACAAGAACGAGATGAAGCGCTTCGGCGGCAGATCGAGCTGGAGGAACAGAAGTTGCGAGAAAAACAACTGCAGGTTAAGGTAATGAACTCATAGACTAGTGACTAGTTTGTGCTGAATTGATGTTAATGTGTGAGGTCGTTGTCCGAGACCTCGACTGCATGAAGTTGATAACAGGCTTCACGCATTAACTGCAAACATGCAGTCAATTTATTAAACTTATACTCCGTCCAATAATTTAATCAAGTGGTGACACCTCGATTTCTAATCAATTAGTGATATCCTAATGCTTTTCCGATTCGATTTATTATAACAATCGACTTTGTTTATGACGAAGTTTTAATCGTGTATGTGAGCGGTTTCCAAAAAGAAGATGTCTGATTTTAATGCTGATGTTGCGTTTGACAATTTGTGTACTCAAGAATTAATAATTAATGTTAATGAGGATTCAAGTGATGGTTCCCGTTCATAAGGAGAAGGATCTGACGGATTCATTATAATAAACAGTAAGAATTTATTATAATTATTTATAATTTATTTCATTTCATTATAACTTATTATACAGGTACCAAAATTTATCAACTTGAATAATCTTCGTTATATAATTTGTTGGCTCGATAAATATCGCACGTCGTTTCATTAATAAAAAAAAAAGAATCTAGGAAGTATTGCATTTCTTTGTCTATGGTTGTATGTCAATAACTACGGAACTTTAGAGGCATGCATATGTGTTAAATTTAAATAAATCGTTGGACGGAGTATAGCAGGCTAATTTCAGGGATTGTTCGGTCTTTGTATCTATAATTATTAGTTACCGGTTAATTGGAACGCGGCGTGACTGGTTAGTTGATCTGTATGGTAAGGATGAGGCAGTCATACTAAGAGATGATCTTTTATACTTTCTATTCTTATAGTACCTTCTAAATTCCAGGAGCTTCGAAACAGCCTAGAAGGCCAAATAGCAGAACTGAGCGAGAAAGAAACAATAGTCAAACGACTTCGTAAGCAAGAAGAAAGGGAAATATTGATACTTGACGAGCTTCACTTCATATCGTGTGAAAGAGAACGAGAATATGCAAAGCTTGTGTCAGAAAGAGATGCCACTATTATTAATATGGGTCTGCATAAGTATAAGCTAAAGAAAATGGTGTTGTGTGTTTTGAAGGAAATTGAATTGGATTTGGTTATGTTGGAAAAGATTAAGAGAGCGGTGATGAAGGTAGGAATGTAATATGTGGATTGTTATTATAGTTTTTTTTATAATACCAAGTGACGGGATGAACAAATAGTGCGCCTGGTGGTAAGCGACAAGCCTATGCATAACAGTTGCAGTGCCATTCAGAGCTTTAAATCATAAAGATCTTATGGGCACTGCTACTGCGCCCGTCCCCCGGAGACATAAGTTGACAAGTCCTTACCCTTACCCTTCTGAACCGAAACGCAGTAATGGGAGCATTACGTTGTTATTAATTTTGTATGAAAAAACATTTTATGATACCAACTTCTGCTGTCCAGATTTTTTTCGTCTCATACAATGAAATGATCCTTACATGAAACTGAGTCGATCAACATTAAAAATATATATTAACCAATTTTATTCATTTTTATGGGCAACATAAAAATGAACTGCGCTGACCAAATAATTGACTGCCAAAATTATAATCACAAAAAGACTTAAAGGTTCATAAGACCCCATACAGTCCCATTTAAAAAATACACACTATACAACGTTACAGCTGTAATAGTAGTTTATGTGATTGTTATATAATGAAAGACTTGTGTGATGTTTTTATGAAGCTCGCCTATCGGCTCGTTTCATACACCCACGCTCGTGTTTTAATTCCTACTTATGTACATGTACATGTACATACACTGCTTTATCTATACACATATTATAAACTCTCTATGAGGTCCCTACTATCATATCGTTCAATATCAAGTAACATGTGAATTTTTTGTACAATCTACTATTTCATAGATAAGAAATTTGTTCTAACAAAACAATTTATCTTTATGCTGGTCGTAATTTGCGGGTTTTGAACACATCATACAGGGTTTATGATATGTGCGTAGATAAAATATATATATGTTTCAAATTAATTTGAAATATATTTTAAACACCGAGCGGACACTTCAATTCTATAATGAATAGTGCGTGCACCGCAAGATTATGCGAATGTACACGTCCGTAAATGACGCGCGGCGGGTGTGCACACATACACACGGTGCTGCTACATTCGTATGGAGTTATACTTCTTATTATACAATGCTTATATGGCTTGTCTTTAGACATGTTTCACACTCATGTATTTCCCAGATACACTCCAATGATTATGAACCGAGTTGGTTCATAATCATTGGATGGCTCACTAATACATTATTATATGCAACATTACCAATATATGCTTCCTAGGACTACGAGACCGACAAAGAAAAACCGTCCACATACAAACGCGTATTAGACGCAGCACTAAAAGAGTTAGAAGAGTACAGAGAGAAGGAGCGGCTTAGACAACGAAATATTGATGCTATGTACGACGGAGAAGCCAGACAGATTAACGAGAAACAGGACAAGGTAATAATTGTCTCTCTATCTTAAGTAGATAGTTATTGGCGGTTCGGGCTCAGTCGTTCAGTGGGAATATCGACCTTATGTTTAAGTTTAAGGGCGAGAATGGTTTGGCTGTATTTAAATAGATTTTGTGAAGGAGTTAGGTGCTATGTATGTACCGAATGAATGAAAGAGCAAGAATGTGTTTCCTGGAGATAGTTTATTAACCACAAGTTTGAGGGCGTCCTACATTTTATATGATATCAAGTAACGGGACAAGCAAGTTGTGCGACACGCCTGTCCGTAGCAGTGTCACTCAAAATTTTAAATAGCAAAGATCTGCCACTCGCGCCCGTTACACTGAGACATAAATTGACAAGTCGGATGTGCCCGTAGTAAGTACTTCCCTGGACGAATTCCTTCACATAGAGCTCTACTGCAACCATCGAGAATGTACTCGATGACTGCAACCATCGAGTATATGACCAGAAATAGAGACGAAATAAGGCTCATACATTCCTGGTAACTCATAACTTATGAATACTAAACGTATAAATACTAAAATAAGCACTGTCAATGAAAAAGTACCAAAATATGCAATAACGCTATAAAAATAGCATTATATGCGTTTGCATATGCAAACATGCAAATGCATATAATCCGATGTCTACTCATAAGTGATACATCACTTATAAATATCAACTCTCGTTTGCACTGAAATATAGACATCGCCAACAACTGATCTGTGTGTACGTTTCCGTATATTCCAAAAATATTCTGTATTTATTGTAATAAAGATAATATCTGTAACAATGGCGTGCTGTTCCATTGGGTGGTGTGGGGAAAAACAGCAAAACATTTTGCGATTTGTGTCCATTATAGCAAAGCTCAAGTTGAACTGGTCAGTTTGAAGTGAAACAATTGACGACGCCCGTCAATTGTTTGGAATTCGGGCTGGCCAATCGTAGCGCAGTTGTCACAGTAATGATATGGCAGAATAGTTTTCAAACAAATTAAATAACATTTCGTCTCTATTTCTGGTTATATACTCGATGACTGCAACTAAAGCTCTGCTGCGTTTCAGCATGAAGTGGACATTCTGCCTAGAAGTGTTAATTGCTAAATATACCAGTATTTTTATAGTATATTTTTCATCGGGAACTAAGACAATCTAGACCTACCTAGACCTAGAGTCAATATAGACCTGTCCCCGTAGCATGGCTACGCATGATAGTCGCGAACCGCGTGATAAAATTGCAATAAACGCGCGCTTTTGGCAGTCTCAATCAGATCTAATTTAGATAGCCAATAGCGCGCGCTTATTTCAATTTTATCACGCGCGTCGCGACTATCATGCGTAGCCATGCTACGGGGGCTGATGTAGTTAGACACCCGAGCCTTGTCTGTTACTCCGAGGGTTTATATATTGGATTCAGTCTCAAGGTGAAAACTTTACTTTTCACTTCGATTTCAAGAAAAAAATTCAACAGATTACGCTCTACAACAAAATTACGAACCAAAATTCTGAAGATGGCGGTATTTTTTTTGTCCAACCAGACACAGATACAACAAATGCACTAACCCGCGTTAATAATAGTGCGCCATCGTCTATGCGAAAAAGGCACGGAACTAAAACTAGCACAAAGGATGCACTTTACTCCCGCTACGTTAGGCTATAATGACGTATTTTTACAGCATGAGAAGTGAAAAATGTATTATTTATTTGCTTTTTCAGCAATGGGCAAAAGAACGGGAAGCCCGTTGTAACCTTATGAACGAAGTGTTATCGGTATTAAAGCGACAAATCGAAGAAAAGATAGAAATTAACAGACAGATGCAGAGGGAAAACGTCCTCGAACGAGAGAAGATCGTCGACCAGATGGATAACTTCCACCAGGAAGTCAAAGCCAAGGAGAGGGAGACACAAGTGAGTGTGTTAGATAATAAAGACTAATAGTTCTTCTTCTTCTTCTTCTTCTTCTTCTTCTTCTTGTTGTTTTTTGCGCATGATTGCGTAAAAATCATCAACACACGCATCCGCAAACATTTGGCCACACCAAAATTTATATTATTATGATTATGATATAGCATAAAATTAAACTATTTTTTTTTCAGTTGACGAACGCGTCAACATCAGCGATAACAGCGCTGCAATCGCAATTGAACAGTCTCCGCATGCAGCAGCAGCAGTTAGAGGCTTCAGCAACCAGGGAACAGGAACTCAGAGCGGCCATGGACCGAGAGCGGTCGGTTCGACGCGAGATCGCCAAAATGCAGCGGTGTGGCAGTGCGCATTCATGGAACACTGACCATTAAGCACAACTTTTTTTTTGAACTCCCAACTCAAAATCTATTCCCTGGTTATTTGGCCTTAAAAGTTTGGTCATGTTCAACTACTCTCAACGAGCTATAATCTAATATCGAGAAATGTGGTTTCTCAATTTCCCGTTAAATTGTGTATTAATGTAAAATTACACGAGCTCAAATACTTGTAAACTGACATACAAAAAAGCTATATGCAAATTTTCAAAATATTAAGAAATATTCTACAGATTTGGAAAAAAGACACGACACTCTACTAAACAATTAAGTTATTAATTAATTTATTCTATGTATCTGTACATTCACTATTTTATTTCAAAAGTCTTGCGTCCTGGGTCAATTCCATTAACCCCCTGACTCAACAAATTGTAATGGGAAAAGCGCTAAACTCCCATTTACATTAAATTACATTAAAACTAAATATAATTACATACTTCAGGCCCAAGTAAGTATGCCATATGATATTTTAGGTTCGTAAGAAACGTGTTTTTCTATTACCATATCGCACCCTTCATGGAAGAATGGCGTGAAGTGAAGTTACCTCAAACATGTATATCCACCTTCTCTTCAATTCTTGTAACGCTGTCGAATAATATTGTAGATAGAGTTACAAGAATTGGAGACGATGTGGGTTATATTTTTCTGTATCTAATGGAGCAATAAACATGTTTGACTTAACTCCACTTTAGCCATTCTTCCACGAGGGGTGTGATATGCTTACATAGAATACTTTCACTATAATGTACACAAAGGGCATACCTGTGTCTGTAATGCGATTACAGTTAAGGCCCATTTAGATGGAGAGAGTTTATCGTCTCGAAGATACGATTATCGCAAGAATATAAAAAACTTTCCTCGTCTAAACATTTGCGATTATCGACTGTTCACGTGAGTGATAATCGCCTCGCCTTTCAATATTGAACGTCTCCGTGTAAACAGAACTCGAAAGCAAAAATCGTATTTCGAGTTTCTGTGCCAGCCGTTTCTACCACGAGAACAGTGCGCGAGGGTGTTTTGATTATCACTGCTTTTCTAAGATAAGAATTAATGAAACGAGAACGAAAAAAAAATTGGATTAAGAAATGTTACAAAATTTGAAAAAGAAAAATGCAATGAACTTAATATTATCAGCAGTTCCAAATTTGAATGATTTTTGCGTCATTTCGATATGTCCATAATCAATACCGCAGTAATCACTGAACTTGAATGGCGATTCTCGCGCTCAAAACGATTCGAACCGATTTGTACGATAATCGTATGAACTTGAAAAAATGTCATACGAGATCGTGTTTAGACAAGTCGAAAACACGTAAGCAAGAATCTTATTACATATTTCTCTGTGTAAACAGTCGAGGAGGCGATTAAGTTGCTTGCGAATCTCGTATGACATAATCGTAGGCGAGATTTTAGTTCTTGCCTGAATGTAAACATTATGATACGATAATCTTATGACGATTATTGATTACGATAATCGCCTACGAGTTTTCTCACGAAGCGTGCGAGAAACTCTCTCCATCTAAATGGGCCTTTACAGTTATCGCTAGCGACCGCATAAACTGTTTGTATACAAAATGTTGTTTCTTCTTGTGACCGCTAGAGGCGCTGTATAATTTGCCATACAAAATTGTGAAGCAATTTACGCGGTCCCTAGCGACAATTGTCATAGTAAACTCGTGGTAGAGGTACAGATCACTTCTCATATTTAGAAAGATAAATTAATTAATGCTTAAGGGTCTGTGCTACCTTATCTCGAATTCAAATTTTTCCCGTAATAATACGGTTCATTTTGCTTGGGTCGAGTGGCAGGGACACTGGCTTTATTTCAAAATTTACTCTTTTACAAACGAAATTAAAGCCATTTCAAAAATGTATATCATATAGTATACGTGTTCTATTTAGTTCAGTAGACATAAAACAAAAGTCATTGGTCATCATATTATATAAAATACCTATAGAATACAGCGGTTTTCTCGTAAAATTTCGAATTTCGAGTTTGTGTTTTTTTCTATCGTAAAAATTTTTAGGAGTCGTGTTTTTACACCGTATACTAATCAGTGTGTATCCTCGATTTTACTATATATTTTTTTCACACTTTTAGTGTTGTGCAGAATTATGTAAAGCCATTTGAGGTAGTATAGACACTTAAGCAAGCCACATTACGAACTAGGTAATAGTAGCTCCTGTCTGCGTTCACGGAAGTGCGTTTCATGGATTCGTTTTGTAAGCGCCGCACATGTACAGTCAAGAGCACATCAAGCTTGACACTTTGTACTTTAGACCGTTTTTATCGTAAGCGGCATAGAGTTCATTAAGTCTTAAGTGTCAAGCTTGATGCTCTTGACGCTGTACTTGTAAAATCGTGTCTGAACATGTGTTTTCATTATAATCGCGCCTTTAATTTGAGATGTGCTTTATAACTTTTAAGTTGAATTACTTTGAACTGATTTTATTAATACGGCCGTAATTAAAAACTTGTTGTTGAAGCTGGAGAAAGACTCTTTTTATTTTAAACGTGTGTGATTTGAGTGCCTTGTATAGTAAGACTAAGTTATGTTTAATGTAAGATTAAAATTAATTGTCTAAGATGAAACAAGATATCAGATAAAGGAATTATTTTTTATACTATTATATTTTCATTGTGGCTTACCAAAGGCTCAAATGCCGATGACTGTACTGAAATTTTTTAAATGATATGAATTAAAGCCAATGACTGCTGCATGTGTGCTAAATAATTGATTTTCAAATAAAACATGTTTATTTTTAATGTCTGAATGTTTTCCTAACGGTATCTTTAATAAAAGTATACATATAAGTATTTTTTCTAATAAATGACGGGATGAACGAATGGGAATGACGGGACAGACAAGTGAGTCTCCTAGTCTCCGTCATCGTGAGACAAGTTGATATCCCATGTGCCTGATTTCATCAGCACCCTTATCTGTACAAATCGGAACTGCTCATAATTACCGCTTGGCGGCAGAGATAAGTAAGGTGGCAGTGCTTACCTGGACGAGCTCTTTCACAAGGCGCTCTACTGCTACCATCGAGTATAATATTCGAGGACTGCTACCAACATTGATGAATTTTAAAAAAACAATGAAACTTTTCTGCGCCATCTGGTCGCTTTGACAGAAACTGTAGTGTGTAGTTACTTTTTGATTACAGTGCCACCTACAATTTCTATATAGCACTACGATGTGATCTTTCTGGTGGGTACTCGTGTGATGATTTTTGATGGTACCGTTTTGTTCTACTAGATGTCGCTCTCAGTAATTTCGGCGATTTTTGAAGTAATAGATTTTAGTTGCATAGAATTAATTGATTTGTATTCCCTAATCTTCGTACGATCTTAGTTTATATTTTCGTGATGAATTTATCGGTCGGCTTAAAGGAAAATAAGAAAAGTCCAAGATGTGCTTACAGTTATGGTGAAATATTCTTGGTAATATCTAGGTCTCTATGAATTTAGGTCGTATCAATTTAAAATGTCTTGTAAATTAATAAATAAATATACCAAAAGTTACATTTGGCGTAATACTTGGTACCTGATCAAACCGTGACTGAATATTTAAGAAAATCAATCAATTTTACCTAAACTATAATAAACTAAATACTTAATTAAACCTACTAAACAGTACTTGGGTACATACTGTTTTGACGTTACTTTACATTACTTGCTTTACAATTAGATTTAATTGTAAAATACGTCTTTCACAATTTATGTAACTGCTACTTTAAAAGACGGAAAAAGGATTTATTTTTCTTTTGTTTTATGTTGTGTATTTTCTATCACTCTCCAATAATCCACTTTTTCACTTCTCATGTTCTAAATGTACCTACGTCAATGTAGCTTTACATAACGGGTGGAAAGTGCATCATTTAAGCCTTAGGGGAGTAAAAAGCACCTAGTTTTTTAATTCGCTTCGATATCTCCGACTTTTACACCACAGCCGTCATCAGAGATCACACTGAATTCCCAGATACAAGCTAATACACATATCAATTTTCCCAGACGGACCGTAATTTATAATACTAAAATAATTCTTATTGTATATTTAACTTTAATTAAAAACCTTATCGTACTTAATTGATTATTTTTTTCTCGCAATCGAAGTGAACAGTAAAGTTTTCACCTCAACACCAAAAGCCAATATAAACCCTCGGAGTAATATCCTACATCCTCGTGCGAGCTCGAGTGGCTAACCGCCTCGGATATACCCGATCAGCTCGTCTTAGTCCCTCGATAAAAAATATACTATATTACAAAACCAGTTTCCTAAATTGCTTGAAAATACCATTTTAATGTAATGTAGTTTTTAAATTAGGTCAAAAATATTGTCCTTGGCTCCAACAACGTTAACTGCGGGAAATCAAGAAAAGAAAATATTCATAAATGTCACAGTTAGATATTTACGAAGTTTTTAAAACGGGTATTTTTGGGAAAAATGCCCATAAATGGAATTTAATCTGAAAATTCTGTGTTTTCACTTAGAATTTTCTCAGAACTTTCAGTTGAGTTAGATTTAGCAGCAGTAGAGCTCCTCCGAGAGGGCCCTTATTTCGTCTCTATTTCTGGATATATACTCGATGAGGGTAGTACTGCCATCTTACCCATTTCTGTGGCCAAGCAAAAATGTGACCATTACTGCGGTCTAGTTTTGAAGCGTAAAAGGGTGCAGTTGAAATTACAAGCACGTACTACTTGTGACGGGCGCAGAGGTAGCGCTTCTCAGATCTTTGTGATTTAAAGCTTTGAGTGACACTGCAACTGTTACGGACAGGCGTGTCGCATACCATCAGATGCACAACTATTTCGTCCCGCTACATGATACATAAGAAAAAGAAAAGTAAGGTTTTTATTACTTTAAATTATTTGTCGTACATGAAACACAATAAAAACAATGAAAATTCAAATTACTACCAAAATATACATAATTTAATAACAAAATAAATATGACATACTATGGCTCAGCTACAATGAAATATTTGAGTACCTTTGTACTATACCAACGAGAGCTATCTCACCTTGATATTTTCGTATACTTTATGATTACGAACGTACAAAAATTAACAAACGCATAAAAAACAAGTTAAACTATGGAAAAACAATACAGCACACAAGGCAAAAGAAAACCTACCCAGGGCTTGTTTAACAATCCAAAATACAATTCAATAATAAATATAACTAGTTATTGTAGGCATTCCGTCCTCGCGTCCAATCCTACCTAAATAAATATTAAACATTTGAAATGAAAATTTTCCTTAATTAAAAGCAAACTCAACATAACAATTTAACTTTTTATTATGAATGATTTACGTATTGCACAGCGGTCTTCCTACGTAAATAGAACA